ATCTTTTATGTCCTTTTTAATGCTTATGAGATTAGTACCGTTAAGTAAGACATAGAAAAATGCGAAGGAGGAGGAGGGAAGAATATACGGGGAAAGGAGGTGTTATAACATCACCCACTGTTTTTTGAGCTGCACAGCGGTGTGGCTGGAGGAGTCCTGCTGAGCCAGCGCCTCCTGCAAGCTGGACATCACCCGCCCCTGCCTGAGGGGCTGCACGTTCTCCTTGCTCAGCTCCCACTCATCGCTGCACTCGTGGGACATGACCGCGGCTCCTTTAATCCTGCGCTAACAACAACAACATCACGTGTTGGCAGGATACGGACCGGAAACTTCACACACCCGCCCTTCATCAGCCCATTCACGCCAAATTTTCTGCGCAATCAAAACACACCGTTTAGATGCCCAACTTTTAGAAGGAGTTCGTGTTTTAATTCCCTCCCATGGGAATTACATGAAACAAAACCCAATCTTAACAATGAAGAACCTCTGGCAGGCGAGGTTTGCAGGGCAAGCCACTCAGATGATGGCGTTTCCCTTCCCAGTGATTTCTCCCTGCCCCGAGACTCCCACCCTCCGGCCGGGGGGAGCCTGGACGGGCCTCGAGTTCATTCGAGCCCCTCTGGCTCTTCACCTGCGAGTGGCTGTAGCGTGAGAGCAATAATCCTCCGTGGGTCAGTAATTTTCTATCCGCCTTTACAATCTGAATTTCTGTTAAGGTAGTTGCGGAATAAAGCATCTGAATGCTTTAGGTAAAAATAGTGGTAACATAAGTATCCAGTTTTCCGACAAGAGATGCCGAACAAGTTCAAGCTCCAAACGACCACCAGAGAAACCCCTCGGGCCGCCACGGCCCCGCGCACCCCTCACGGCCGCCTCAGCCGGAATCAGCCCGCAGCCAGATTTTTCCAAAACTCAGTCCTTTTAATACCTAAAGAGATGCGCAGTTCTGGGAAAAAAAAAAAAAAAAACCGCTGCAAAATCCCTTCGCTAACACCTTAACTACAGCACTCAGCAAGGGAGCGCGGAGTGCGCGCACAGACCGGTCAGAGCAACAGCACGGACCTCATGTTTTGCTCAACTACCTAGGGACCTTGTGCTCCGTTAAGTTCTCCCCCGCGAATATCCCATTATGGTCCGTAGCCGTATTTTTTCGAACTTACTGTCCCCAACAAATAATTCGCAAAGCAAAACAGATTCTCCGAATGGGAGTTTAGAACTGAGGTCTCAGCCCGCAGCCCCTCGGCCCCTCACGGCCCCTCGGTGCCTCAGCCCGCTTACCTCGCACCCCTCACAGCCCCGCGTACCTGTCGGCTCCGCGCGCCCCTCACGGCCCGCGCCGTAACGGCCGCGCCGCCTCAGCCCGCCCCGAAATTCAAACGGCCGCCGCCTCCCCATTGGCCGCTGCCGGCGCCTCGCCTGATTGGTTCATTTCCGCGACGCCGCCGCGGGGCATCATGGGAGTTGTAGTTTCCCTTCAGGCGACTCCGTCGCGGAGAAATAAATAGTTTTGTAATTATTCCTTCAGAATTAATCTTATTATTATGGCTTCCCTGTGTAATAAGTAGTAGTAGTTAAATTTACTCATCAAATTAGTAGTAATAGTAGTTTACTCATTAAATTGTAGTGCATGTTATATTCTTGTATATGTATATATTTATATGTTATTATAATCACTGTTCTGTTAAAGTTAGGAGACTATAAGTTGTAGAATGGTTCATTAATCCATCAGCATTGTAAGCTGATAAGCACACAGCTTGCAGTTCTTAAGTTAGAAAGACAAGTTATTGTGCTTTGTTAAATAAGTATTTCTGTATTTTACTTTTCTAAAAAGCTCATTGTCCCATAGCACGCATAAAGTAACGAAGGGAAGAACAAGAATCAAAGGGTCAAGAATGAAGAATGATACAGAGTATCCAAGATGGACATCTGCAGCAGAGACCTCAAGGACTAAAGGCTGATTAAAACCATGGAAAGGAAAGCTCCTGACAAACGAAATGGGGCCTGTAGGAAAACCAACCAGAACCAGACCTGCAAAGCTCGGGTCCAATAAGGGGGACAGCAAGTGACAATGGGAGGCAAACCGATAAGGGAATAAAAATTACTGGTTTTGCCTACTGCGCTTGCGTGCCGTGAGTGGAGCAAGGGACTCCCCGGCCAGCCAGCGCGCTGTTTTGCTTATTTGCATTTTCTATAAATCTTCAATAAATTTTTATTACTATATTTCAACTCAGTTTCATTTTACTTATAACACCTGCCACAGGTTGCCCAGAGAAGCTGTGGCTGCCCCAGTAAAATTAAAATTTTCCAGCCCTTATTTACATGGTACAAGCAAAAACTTGGGTTTAACAACCTCATGATGGGGGTGGGTGGCGGCGAAGCGCTTTAACAGCTCCCTACACTTAGTTTCAAGTTGTTCTTCAGCATCACCTTGTGTTCCTGTAGGGAACTGGTCCTTCACCTCTCTGAGTGAAAACTGAGATCTTAATTAAATCCAACATCTTCAGGGTTTTAAAAATACTGATGTCTTGCTCCCTTCTGCATTCTAGATCTGTAAAAATTGAAATATGTGTCAGCTGCAAAAAAAAATTTCCCTAGACTTAGACAGGAATATCCTGTGAGTAATATAGATTAGCTGCCTGCTATTATTGGAAAGCTGATCAAGAATAGAAATATTTCTCACAAAAAAAAAAAATTGAATATTTGATGAGTAGAAAGTGAATTTTTGTTTTTCCTTCATAACTGAGCTTAACTCCCAGACTCTGAAGGCATTTATGATGCCTGGAGGTTATGGAGATTCCATATTCCCGGATGAGACAAACTTGGATCCTGGTGTTGATGGGTGGCTTCTTCTTTACTACATGGACAAGAAATTAATTACATACCTAAAAGGGATATATGGCCTTATATCTCCCTAAAAAATCTGTTACTTTTATACCTGAGCAGTTAACACACTTATCCTACACTAAAATGCAGAATGTATGCATAAAGATATAGAGATCCCAGCACAACATGGAGTATAATGTGGGGTCTTAAATTTTTCAGGTCTTCCACTATGCCTTATCATACAAGTGTTTATCTCAACTTACACAAAATCAAGGTGAAAACCAGAATTCCAACCTCTGTCCTTCATTTCAGCAACCCCTCTGCAAAAGGAGCACAGGAACACGAGTTCTATCCAGGAATTACTGCTGGGTCATTTCCTAAGCCTCAGTTGTTGCTTTAGTCCTAAATCTGTTCCTTTCAATGTTTTGACTCTTGTGTTGTTATTGATTGAATAAAATATCTATTTATCAAAAGGGAAGGCCATAATTTGCTTGAAGTCCGTATGATGGATCAATCCTGTTTCTTTAAGTTTTAATTTACTGCTTAGGTCTGCTTTATTTTTATGAGAACTTAGTAACCAACTAATGAAAAAATAAAATGTGCAAACCAGAACAAAATTGAATTGACTTCTTTTCTGAGGGAAAAAGAATCCATTTTGGAGCTAAGGTCACTCAATATCCAAGAAAAATCAGGTTAAAATAGGTCTTTTATGGCTGACTATTTGTCATTTGGAAGTTGTTCTTTTCCTTGTGGAGGCCAAAGGGAAGGTGAAAGGGGCACTTCCCAAGGGTGTTATTCCAGGAGAGGGTGCTCCAGGCTTGGGAAAGCCCTGAGCATCCTCTCCCTTGGCAGCTGTAAAATCCAAACCCCACATCTCCCGCTGCCACACTGGAACTGCTGCTATTCACCCTGCAGGTTTGCTCACTGACTTTTTAGAGCTCTGCATTACAAATATGAAACAAATGTCACTCTAAGCTGGTACAGAAATCAAAATCAGAGCTTGATTTGGGACAGGGTGAAAGAGATTTCTTAAATCTACCTGTAGAGTTAAACTTCCAAAAGCATTTGAGTGTCTTTGGAGTGCAAGGATGAGCGTTTCAAGGTACTTAGAGGTTTATTTGCCATCAGAAGACCCTTAAGCTGATCCAATTTGCTAAAAACATTTCTATCAGTACAGTTTTCTTTCCCGTGCAGATGTTTACAAATGGACATGATTGTTGTACAACAATGCAAAAAGTTTCTCAACATTCCCAGCCTCAGCAGACAAACAAATCCAAGCAGATGGAGGGTAAACTCAGACGGACTTGAACTTAAAAGGTTACATTTTCTTCTAGTTCATTTCATTTTTTTATTCATTTTTTTTTCCAAAAAAGGCAGGAGTGAAGAACAGGATCTGGAGGCTGTAAGGCAGTAGCTGGAGGAAGCTGAGCTCTGCCTGCTGCCAAGTTTTATTATTTCTCCTCACGACAACAACCACCACTTCCAAAGACACAGGATTTACCAACCACCACCTCCCCGGACATTAAACAAGCATAGCCCTGAGAAGCACCACGTGGCCATGAGGGACACTCCAGCCTCTCCTGGGGCAGCCCCAGGGACAGCACTGCCCCAGGGTGGTGGGCTGCCATCAGGAGCTGCTGGAGAGCTCTCCCAGTCCCGTGGGAAACGCTTACTGGAGACAACTCCAAGCAACAGCAGGAGCCTTGTTTACATGGCAAACACTGGGTGCACTCCCTGCCCTCCACTGGCAGCCAAACCACACCGTAATTCCTGGGCAAACAGCTCGGCTGCGGGAGGGATCAGAGCTCCCCACATCTCCACCTGCAGCACAAGTGCAGCTCCTGAAGGCCACACAGCCAGGGTAGCTCTCAGGAGAGCAAACTGAGCACTGCCACACTGGGACAGGGACATAGATGGGAAGAAAGGATGGGCCTAGAGGATAAAAGCCTCCTTGCAAATCCTTTGTGCTCTGGAGTGCCTGTGGATCCCAGCAGTTATCCTTTGGATTCTCTCTCTCTTTGGGGTTTATCTGAAGTAATGACAGCAAACTGGAGATTGGTTTGTAGGGAAAAGGCAGGATTATTTATTGGTTTTGCTCCTCTACCGTGCACTTTGTTGCAATCCTGTGCTGTGGTGCTAAGCTGAAAAAACAAGATAAACACCAGTGACCCAAATTTTGTGCAGATGATCAGAAGATGCCAGTGGAGACCAGCCCAGCCTTTGGCTGCCAGTTGGGGGAAGAGAGGGGTCGATGGGAGATGCAAATCTGGACAGCAGCATCAAACACCTTCCTCCCCCTGCTACCTGGAAACACAGTGCTGACTTTCAGGGCCATGCCTGAAGGCAATACCTCAGAAGCTCTTTTCCCTGACAGATCGTGATAGACAGTTAAAATAGTGCACAATGAGCGGGTTTATGGCACAGAAAATTGATGACAAAGTCCTTCAGTAAAGAACATGTGATCAGTGCTTGTTAACCAGTGACAGAGGACACAGCAGCTCCTGAGTGTAGAACCTCCTGGCTGGTGGCAGGATGAGGACTGTGGTGGCACATTCCAGCTGGAGCACAGAGCAGAGCCAGGCCCTGAAGTGAGCTCCTGGATACAGTCACAAGAACAACTGCAGGCTCAGGGGGACTTGCTGACACCAAACTGTAACACCCTGAAGGGAACAGCCAAGCACTTATTCACCCACTAAGGAGATGAACACTGCACTGTGTAACTAAACTGCTCCCCGAGCTGGGCTACGGTCACACCTGGGCTGCCAGGTCAGTTCACGTACAGCTCTGCTGGACCTGCAGCCAGTTTGGGAAAGGTGATGGAAAGGGACCCAGGGAAACAGGCAGGAAGTGGAGAGATGAAACATGTTCCCCAGCTCAAATCTTAAGTGATGTCCCAAGGTCTCACTAAAGGGGTAAATCAGCTGTAATCTCCTCTGGCCTTATTTGCTGCATTCAGACAGGCAGGGTAGGCAACCTCATCCTCTGCATTCCAGTTTGCTGCCTGAGCAGAAAGATGAGCTTCATGCCAGCAAAGCTGCTGAGATTCCCCCATTTTGGGGGGTATGTAGGCCCATTTCCATTATAATTCAGTGTCATCTCCTGTCCCTGCATCTGTATAAGACACGTTGACTGTCTCCTCTGCAGCTGGGGATGGGGAGCTCTCTGAGGCAAAGGACACTCCCAGCCCTCCGTGCTGCTCATCTGGGTCAGAATCTTCTTCCTCCTCCTCATTCTTCTGCAGATCTTGGTCACTGTCATCATCATCATCATCATCATCTGCTGCTGCATGGTTCTCAATCACTTCAACCCTCTCTCCAGCCTCTGGATCCACATCGGTCTTAAACCACACAGCTTTGTAGCCATCGTCTGCCACGTGCCTGTCTGTCTTCAGGATGGACTTCACCTCTTTCTCCTGTCCAGTCTCTTCTTCCTCTTTTTCCTCTTTATCTCCCTGGTTGGAGGTGGTGCTGGAAGCTGTAGAAGCCCTAGAGAGACTCTCAGTTTCCCCTGCATCGTGGGAGGGTGAGGGAGGTGCCAGCTGCTCTGGCACACTGGTCTCAGACTGGACACTGCCGTTTTCTGATGTCTGATCCTGTATGGTGCTCACGTCTGGGTATTCATATTCCTGGTAATATTCGTTGTGGTGACCCCCAGAGATTTCCTTGGAGAGCTACGGGAGAGACACCTTGTGATTGTAGTGACAGGAACACAAATGAGGGGTGGGAGGGAAGGGGTGGCTGAAGTGACTGAGCTCCTGCCAGGGGAAGTTCAGCTTGGTTTGCACTCAGACCTATTTGAAGCCAGGGAAAGGTGCAGCTCCCTGGAACAGCCACGTTTTACTGACTCCATTTCTGGAGCTTTCTCAGGGCAGCGTGGGCATGTTTTCCAGGAGGGCTGAGCACCAGCACAGTGCACTGATCTGCCCCCACCCGTGTGAGGTATTACTCTGGAGGGGGATTCACCTCACCCAGGGGGAAGGACTGTTTTTCTCCACCTGAGCCATGTGCTCTGCACTCATGTCTGCACTCATGGCTCCTGGCAGTCCCATCCTAAGGCGCAGACCAACATCTGGTCAGACAAATTTTTACACCCTAAACTCCAAAGGTGACCAGTCTGCCAGGGGCCTGAGAGGTCCAAAAGTAAATAGCTGAAGTACTGACAAGAGGTCTGAGCCCAGGCTTCTCAAATGGGAGGGCCCTTTCCCTCCTTTGGCTATGGAGGGAGGATGAACTGTGGTTTATACCACAGACATGTATTTTTCAGAGACCACCTCTGATATGTGTCACATTCATCCCAGAGTTTGTGCTGGGGTCCTGCCCTCTCCCCATGGAGCTGGGGTCCTCTCCTTACTGTGTCTGCTCATCATGTACCACACAGCTCCAGCCTAGGGGGCAGAAAAGAGCAGCAGCAAACACCACCAAAGTGATGTTCCCTGTGCAAACATTGTCTTGGGAGTGATTTTCCGCCTTCAAACAAACGCCTGATATTTGGGCAGCCCATCCATTCTTTAAAACCTCCTCAGATGCCACTTTCTAACTCTTAGAAATTCAGGTACAAACAAGGCGCTTACCTTCTTCTTCAGCAGGTGTTTGACAGGTTTTCCATACCATTTACTGGATTTCCATACCAGCACTCCAAGGAAGACCAAGGCAATTAAGAGCAGTGCTGCTAAGGTGCCCCCTAGGATAGCCATGTCCTGAGCAGAGTAGATCTTATCAGAGGGGGTTACAGCTACGAGGCAAACAAACCAGTGTTACAGAGCCCAAGCTGGCAGCCAGTGTGTTTAACACAACCCTTCAGTGTGGGAGAAGATGCAACCAAATTTGGAAGGGCAGGGAATCATCCTGTGCTGCAGAATGTGACAGGGATATATCTGATATCACAGAATACCATCTTTTTGGTGTCCTAAAAGCAGAGGAGGTGGGGTTTTTTATTACATAGAATATTGTAATTTCCAATAAATTTCATGAAGTGGAAGTCGTAGCCATTCACAGGACAACGACTACATTTTCCAGCTTCATTTTGTAGTGTAAATGACTCTGATTAATGATTAATGATTAATGAATTACGTTTTTGTTCTCCTCCTGATCCTTCATGATAATGGACTTTGAGCATCCCTTCCCTCAGTTTATCATTAACGCCCTGGAGAGGGCTTAGCACCTCAGTGACTTTTTGCTGCTTGCTCATGTCTCCTGGGGAGCCACAGCCCAGAGTGTGTCCCAGAGCTGTGAAAGGTCTCAGGCAGCCCTTCTTTGCCATGACAGGACACCCTGGGTTCTTCCCCAGAGTGAATCAGCCCCAGATTTAGCTTTGCAGTAACAAGAAAAGGCACCACAATATACAGAACCACTTAAGGTCTCAGGAGGCTGTTTGAGGTGTGTAAGGATGTTGTTGGAGTGTTTTCTCTGTTAAAGCCCCACCAAGAATGGGGTTGGCCCCAGCCCAGGCCCACAGACCCAGCAGGTGACCTGTCATGGCCAGTCTGCCCAGAGGAGCAGAAAAGACTCCCCAGTTATCTCCAGAGAGCAGAACCCAGAGCCCTCAGCCTACCTGTGGCTGGCAGGACCTCCACCTCAATTACAGTGCTTGCCTCCTGCTGGCTCAACACATCTTTTCCAACAGCCTATGGGAACATGGGAAAGAGGGGCTTAGGGACTTTCAAATCTCCAGCTCACCCTCCAGGTTTGGGGGGGGCCCTCTCCCCACCACAGCCCTGCACAGGGGCTGGACAGCCTGGTCACGGAGGAAGAAGAGCTCTGAAGATGGATGAGCTGAGCCAGGTCCATGCTTTGTGCAGAGCTCCCAGCACAGTGCACAGGTACTGAGGGGGTGTGGGGCAGGAGCTGGTACCTCTCTGTGCCCTGCCCGTGTAGCTGCAGCAATGCTGAGGTCAGGCTGGCTCAGACAGCTCCACAGGGCATGGCACTGTGCCAGGCAAGCCCAAGGGACCCCACTGGGCCTGGCAGGCAGATGGACAATGGGAACATGCAGCCTCTTTCAAAGCCTGAAGTTATTAACTGCTTCCTTTGGGCCCAGCAAACAAAGCACTGGAATTCCCCTCCTTCCACAAGCCTGACAAAACAAAGCAGAAAGCTGCCCTACCTCGATGAACACAGTTCCTGGGGACTGCAGCACCACGTTGGTCAGGATGAGTCCATCTCTGGTCGCTGTGAAGTCGGTGCTGTTCTTGATGTAGTACTCAATGTTTGGGTTGAATTTCTGAAAAGCCAGAGAGCGATGCTCAAACCACACTGTGCTCCACGTGCACCTTCCTAATAACCCCTTGTCAGCACTTGTCCAAGGCACCTGAGGTACGAGCAGGTGTGTGGTGCAAAAAATACATCTGCACTGAGCAGCTGAGAAAGGCTGAACTCACCTATGTTCCCCCTGGTGCTCAGAGTATCACAGACACCTCAAAAAAATTCCCCAGTCCCACCCAGCTTCTGTTGGTAACTTTACTGTTTGCCCAAGCAAAATACACCTATGCCAGGGATCCATGTGGGACTGGCTTTGCAAGAGGGGCTGGGCAGCTTTTCCTCATTACATTACACCATAAGTGGTACTGATCTGTGTGGAATTTCTGAGGAAGTATAATATGGAATACTAGAGGAAAACACTTGTTTGCCTGTCCCCACCTCCCCTTTCTCCTGTTTGCTGATCCTGCTTTGAGCCCAAAGCTGTGAGAGAGCAGCCGCTGCATTTTCAGTCTCTTACATCAGGGAAATCCTCATCAGCCGCCGTGATGCTCAGGGGGGTGGAAGGATCTCCAGCCTGGAAGACGAAGCTCCTGGGGGGCAGCCCAACCGCCACGGTGCCATTGTAGAGCCCCCTCTCGAAGTGGGGGGGATAAAGGCTCTTGTTGATGACCTTTATCTCTACAGTGGCTACCGAGTATTTCCGGACATTGTCGGCCTGGGTGGCCTGGGGAGGAAGAGAGACAGATGCCAGGGAGACGCTTCTCCTGCTCGTAAGGAGACATGAAAAGACAGGCCTGACACCATCCCAGCTCGGCAGGATGTCCCGATTCTGTGACTTTCCTTTGCTGTCACCACCCGCACCTGAGGGAAAATCTCTTAACTGCTGCAAGGGCTTTGACGTGGGTTGGTGTAAGACATGGGTCACACACTGGGCCCTTCCAAAAGAAAGGGAGGAACTGAGTTATTCTTAACATCACTGACTCCTGTCACATCCTGGCTGCTACTTCCCAGAGATCCAGCTGTACTGTCTGTAATGGCCTCACTTACCATGACTTGCAAGAGGAAGGAGTCTGGGGAAGTCACTATTTTGTTCATAGTGAGATTCCCTGTGTCTGCGTCCACTGAGAACACTTCATCTGTATTCCCTGGGGAAAATGGAAAGGCCATTCAATCATCAGATTCCTTCAGCCAGTGACCTGGGGCTCACAGACTCATTCTTTTCCATCTTCATGACAATATCCCCAGGACACAGTGCCCTTTTCCTTGCCTGCCTGGCTGCTTCAAGGGTGGGAGTGCTGTCCAAGAACTCAGAGAGACAGAGCACATATGTGTGAACCCAATTAAATGAGGTAGGACAGCAAAGCTTTGCATTTCCAGTGCCTGGGCCCAGATATTATCAGTTTAAATTCTGATAAATGCCCAGAGCCTCTAGTGCAATTTGAGGACTGGAAGTCTCTACCCAGTTCCCATTTTGTTCTGGGAATGCTTATTTCTCTCTCCTGGCTACAAAGGGAGTCTAGACACAAACCTTGAATTGATGTAGGGGTATAAATCAGCTTCCCACATGTGTGTGTGAATCATAAAAGTACCTATGTTGGACATATGTCAAAATATAAGCAGAATTTTTAGTCCTGTTCCTCACTCTGAGACACTGTGGGCTCTCTTTAGACAAGGACCCCCAGACTGGGGCTCCCTCTGGCCTGTGGGGTACGGAGGCCACATGCATCCAAAATGCAAGTGGAATTAAAGGTTCTTTGATGTTTTTTTATCAGGAGGATATTCACTGCTGACTGAGGCACAGCTAAAGGGAGAGGAACACTCCACCTGACCAACAGCTTCTACCTTTGCCTTGAAAATTATGCAGAACCCCATTATTGCTAAAATAAAACCAAAAAATAAATCCTTTGATTGACTTAAAGGGCTCAATCGGTGATTGGCAATCAGGTGACTGCATTCAAGTGATATTCTCGAAATCAAGACTAAACCAGGGTAGATAAGGAAGTGCCAGTGTGCTGGGGAATAAAAGCACAATTCTTGGCACTGCACGAAAATAATGGCTGATAAAGTGAGGATTTTAGGTTCATCTTAAAGACAAATGAAAGTGGCATGACCAGACTGGCAAAATCATGCCTAAAAACTTAAAAGATAAAGCATCCCAAACCTCCCAAAAAAACCCAATTTCATTGAGATTGGACTGTGAGACTGTAATTCCCTTTTTCTTCCTCTCTGTACAGACTATTTCTTCTGCTTAATCCACAGTGTTCTGTGGATCTCACAGTGTTTCTGTGGCACACACAGGGGCAAATGCCCAGGCCCTGAGTGAGGTGCCATGGGGGTCCCTGCTCCTGGTGCTGTAGGGGATGTGAGCAGTGCTCTTTGGGGAAAGTGGCAATGTGACAATCCCACTCACCCCCAACGATGCTGTACAAGATCTTCTCGTTTATGCTGAAGTCAGGATCAATGGCATAGATGGGACCTGGTCTCAGGATCAGTGGCTCCACCTGCAATGAGAACGTCAAGCCTCACAAAGCAGCACTAACTCAGCCATCTGAGCTCCCTCCCATGCCAGTGTGGCTCCAGTGGCTTTGTGTGGGCAGAAGGGGATTATGGCTGGGACAGGGCAGTGGGGAGCCAGCCTTGGGAGTGGTGTGCTGCAGGAGCAGCAGCAGCAGTGCTGCTTGGGATGGGGAATTCCGCCTTTTAGGGTGACAAAGGCTCCCTGTCCTGCAGCACCATCTACACTGTAACTAGAGAGCAGTGGGAGCTCATGGAAGTTATCAGCACTTCCCAGTGGGAACAGCCTTGGGGCCCCATGTGGTGGCTCCTGCTCACCGCCATCTCCGAGATGTTGACGGTCCCAGAGTAGGGGCTGCTGACGCAGACGCTGGTGTCGTTGTGGAGGAGGGCACAGGGCAGGAACCAGGGTGCTCTGGTGTCTGCTTGTGTGATCAGGATGGTTATTGTTGCAGTGGCTGTTCTGGTGAGGTCAGTGCTGCCCACAGGCCTGTCCTGCACCCAAAGGCAAAGCACACTCGTGAGATGTCAGTTTTATTGCCAAAACAAGGGCCCATCTGCCACAAGCAGTGGCCCAGGGTCCTTTAGCCCTTGTCACTCCACTGTTTAAGGCTTAGCCATTAATGTGAGATTGGCTAAAGCAGTGGGTTGTCTGCTTCTGCTGACAAAGGCAGGCTGACTGCAAGTGCATCCCTGTAAACGTGGAAGGTGAAAGGCTGATCCAAGCCCACCACCCACCCTCCCTCTGCCACCCCAGAGATCTCCCATCCAAACCCACCCTTCAGGTAGCAGACACCGGACTAACGAGGCATTCTGTTCCTCCCCAAGGACTTACCCTTGCATACAACAGCAACCTTGTCGACTGAAATTTATCATAGTCCAGTGCTTTTTGTAAATAAATTTCAGGGTTATTAACTCCTTTTATGGCAAAATAACCGTCTGTGCCCTGGCAAGGGAAAAGGAAAAATCCAATAGCGGACTCAGTCAGAGACATGTTCCAAATCCTGCTCGTTGCTGTGTCTGTCATCTCAACTGCACCTTTAATCCTGGGGACCTGCATGGGGGGGCAGTGTGGGAATGCTGGATCTATTTAATCTCTGGGAGTGTACACTGGAGTTGCCTAGCTTGTCAAAAGGTGTGTTCCTCCTCCTGGATGAAATCTTTTACCTCATTTATTTCCTACACTCAACAGGTTGCCAACAAGCCTTGATTTTTGGTCCCTGACAGCCAAGCAATCTCACTTCCATGCACAAAACAGGTCAGAGATGGCTCAGCCTCTGAGGGCTGGCAGGATCACCTGCCTTAGCCTCATGCAGCTGGACCTTGGAAGAAACTGTAAAGCCAAGCTGAAGAACGTACATTGCAATTTCCTCTACAGCCTTCTGCGCTTGCTTTGGCTCCTCTTTAGTCTTATGCCTTGTCTGCAATTCCTTTGAGTTCCTCAATCCTCTCGGTTTACACCAATGTGAATGCCAAGTCTGTTCCCAGAGCTGAAATTCAGAAACTGGTGGTTTCTGTTTGCAGCCCCTAAAATCCCTGGGCTTATGGAGGTAACGGATGCAGAGTGTCAGGCACTGGTTCTCTTGATTTAGCTTTTGTTTTCAGTTTCTGGCCAGCCCTTGCACTGCAAGGCTGGCATCAGGGACCGTGTGCACAATCCATTTCCTCTGCTGCAGTTGGCAAACAGGGCAAGGGCTCCGTTTCCCATCTGACTCAGGGCAATTCTGAGCTCCCTGAGGTACAAAGGTCTCCTGATATGTTTACAGATCATCCCAACAAGACTTCCCTGAGTCATACAGCTCTGAATATCCCAGATGGAAGTTTAATCTGTACAGTGCAATAAAAGTGTGAGCAGTGAGAGGATTCAATACCTGCAGTATTGATGGCTCTGTTCTGTCAACTAGATGAGTGTTTGGGGTTTGTAACAGAGGAGAGCTAAATGCAATGACCTCTGCCTGAGAACTGGGGCTCTTCTGAATCCAGCTTCCCCAGAGCTACTGCTTCTGGCCAGAGATGCTTACCTGCACTGTGGCTGTGAGTTCATAGTAGATGATGTCCAGGTCAGCATCGGTAGCGCTTAAATCTTCACGGGCCACAACGGTTGCATTCACCTCTGTGTCCTGAAAAAACACATTGCTGGGGTTATTGCTCTGTGTAAGATGGGCTGAAGCCTTTCCCTGCTGACCTTTCCCCAGTCCCAGAGCACTGAGTGTCCCAGTGCCCTTTTCCATTCCCAAAAGCACTCACTTCTCGGACAAACTTGGTGAGATTCGGCTGTGGAAACTGCGGATCGTTGTCATTTTCATTGAGGATGGTGACAAAGATTTCCAAAGAATCGCTCTGCAGAAGGGGCAAAGGGAGAGAATCAGAGCCAGAAAGAGGCTGTTGGGGCTGCTCCTGGTTTGCAGAGGGGATGGTGTAAGGAGCAGTGCTGGGATGGGGCTGGGAGAGTGGTGTGTGTGCCCACAGGGAGAAGGACATCTCTCCATGCCGGTGCAGGAAGAACAGAGGGAGGCACATGTTGGGTGCAGACCCTCGTGCTGGGGCTCACCTGGCCAGCAGAGTCCTCACAGATCAAGCTCACCACCAGCAGGGGGTTTTCCTGCAGGAAACACAAACCCACCACTGCAGAAACAGCCAACGTGTGCAAACTCCTTCCGAAGCAAAGGATCCAAATTTATGCCTTGCTGAATAAGGAATGCTGATGGGCTTTATCTTGTTTTCAGGTGCATCTAACTTTTCCTTTCTTTCCTTAGTGCTGGGATCTTGTTTATGATGGAGTCAAACCAGCCCAACCTTCCAGCCTCTCTCCCTGCATCTCCTGTAAGATGCTGACAGAGCTGACCTGTCATTTTCTCCCACTTCAGGTGAATTCAAATAAAGATTTCTTTTTAAATTGAATGAATCAGAAATGTTCCATGTGGCAAGTGCAGTGTCACCTGTGGGGTGTTAACTCTGGCTGCTGCTCTTGGCTCAAATAAATGTGGGGTTTTACACTGAAAGAGAACTTAAGGATGGTTGTGGTTGTACACAGGGCACTCCAGGGAGGGAAAAGAATGCAGCAGCAACCAAAATGAAACTTTTATGCTGCCTTTCAGCTTCACACAAGATCACAGGATCAAAGAATGGTTCGGGTTGGAAAGGACATTAAAGCTCCTCCAGTTCCATCCCCCTGCCATGGGCAGGGACACCTTCCACTAGCCCAGGTTGCTCCAAGCCCCATCCAACCTGGCCTTGGACACTTCCAGGGATCCAGAGGCAGCCACAGCTTCTCTGGACAACCTGTGCCAGGGCCTCCCCACCCTCACAGGGAAGAATTCCTTCCCAATATCCCATCTAGCCCTGCCTTCTGTCAGTGGGAAGCCATTCCCCCTTATCCTGTCACTCCAGGCCCTTGTCCAGAGTCCCTCTCCACCTTTCCTGTCGGTCCCTTCAGGCACTGACTCACCTCATAGTCCACCGACTCGGTGAGCAGCAGCTCAGCCTCCTGGATGGCGAAGAACCTGCCGTCGGGGTAGCGGGGGTCGATGGCGACGGTGAACCCTGGCTCCACGTGGATGGTGGTCACCACGTAGTTAGGGGAGTTATTTTCAGGAACTTTCGGGTTCCTGTCACTGACAGAACATCCTGGAAAGACACACAGATGAGATGGGAAGCTGCCTGGTGATTCCCACTGGGAAGGAGTTGGTGTGAGCCAAGACTCTCTGGTCCCCTTGGGGTGGTCACTGGGTGAAGCAACCACCTCCCACCCGTATCCCACCACTTCCTGGGGACACTCCCCAGGGCCCACAGACCTCCTGCAGGAGCTTACCTTGCTGCTGTGCTGAAACTCGTGTCATGAGGGGCAGCAGGAAGAGCACAGGTGTGAGGAGCCAGTGAGAAACAGCCATGGGGAGCTGCCAGTGGCTGAACAATCCCTGTTCCCAGCTAAGCTGATCCTGTCTCCCCGTTTCTCCCAGTGCCGTCTCCTGCACTCACGGCTTTGTGACGGCAGAAACACCGACTGGAGTGGATTGCTGAGTTTCAACCTTTGCCTCCTTGCCTCATTGGATGAGTTGTTGAAAGATTTACCAGTCATGGAACATGATGACATGTACATTCCTGTTCCTTCTTTCCCTGGGTCTCTCCTGTCCTGAACTCTGTGGCAACGAGAATGTATTTGAAGCATTTCAGAACTCAGGGCCAAGCCCTCCCCCTTGAGATGAGCATGAAGGACAAGGGCTGGCACTTGGGCAGCTGGCTGTATTCTCCAGCCTCTCCCAGGGGGAAGGTTTCTGATGTGCCAGAGATGGGGTCTGTATTCCACAAGGTGAGACGAGTAGGTCCCGACAGGGACGATGTTCAGCAGCTCAGGAATTTCCCAGCAACTCTGTAGGGAAAACACACCTCCTTCTACCAGTGGCCAGCAGTGGCTCCTTGAAGGGATGCCTCCCACAATCCCCTTCCCCTCTGCTCTCACTGATTCTTTTAAATTGCCAGCTGATTTCAGAAGGTTCTCATCTGCTGCACCTCAGCCAAGTGGCTGTTAGTGGCTCAATGAAATCCAGGCTGTCAACACTCCTTCCAAAAGTATTCCAAGAGGAATCTTTCCTAGCAGAGACCTCCTATGGACCAAAATAAACAACTGCCAGGTTTGTTCGGCCCCTCAGTAAGGGAATGGTGGTCAGGTGAGCACTGGAGTGGGAAGGGCTCCTTTGCAGGTGTCAGGTACATTACAGGTGGTGAAAAGTGCTGGAGCAGGGTGGGCTGAGCAGGGCTGTGCTCAGCACAGGACTGCAGCTGAAGATTCTCCTTTTATAGCTGCTCTCCAGAATCTGTTGGTTTTACAGGAAAGCTGGAGTGGCTGTTCTATCAGAGGAGGGAATCTGCATGTCAACAGTGTGTAAACCTCGTTAAGTGGTGGGAACAAATTCCTCCATGTGGAACTCTGTCTTTAGTGGCTCTGAGAAAGCTGGGCCAGGGGCAGAATGGAGTGGAAACAACATTTACAGTATCTCTGTTGTGTAGCTCTCAGAACATTTCTTTGCCACAGAATCTGACACCTGGCTGAGTTCCTGCTCCATGGATTCTGACTCTGTGCACAGCTGGACTGTGGGCAATCCCAACGTGCCTCATGTGGGGGGATCCTGCATTCCAAGGGTAAAGCTACCACCCTTCTTCCAGTTTCCCGAAGAGGAGCCAAGGCACAGGCACAGCTAACCAATCTTTATTTGGGACCAGCAGCAGGCAGCCAGATGCCAACACGCAGTGGAAGGGATGTGCTTCACCCAGGCTCCATCTACTGACAGCAGTTCACACCCACACACATTTCACTTTGGGCAATCTAAGAGGTTTCATTGGAGTTTGGCTGCTTTTCAGGAGTATTTTTATTTATTTGCCAATCTCAAGAGTTTTTCCTAAATAAATTCAGGAGCTTCCCTGTTTATTGTCAAGGCCATACACATGCAAAGCCATCTCCTTGGTTGGTTTTTTCCCTTCACCTTCAGTCAGAGCCGTCTGTATCTTCCTTCATGTCTGCAACCAGCAGCTTAGAGATGGGGCAAAGGTACTGGCTGGTGACGGCAGCAGCTTCCTGGGCATCTCTGTCCGAGTGGCTGCAGGGAGGCAAAAGTGAGGGGGAGTTCCTTATTCCTGAGGGGCTGGGCTGCAGGAGGTGTGACAAAGCCACCGTGGGAAATTCAAGGACAGAGGGACCATGACTGCCTGCAGCTGAGCACCCCACAAGGGCACAGGGGGGGTTTCATCCCCACTGTGGTCAAGAGGTACTAAGGGCCAAGCTTATTCCTTGTCATTTTAGGGATTTGAGAGTGAGATGTCTAAGTGAAAGTGGTTGGTCAATAGGAAAAGACAATATCCAGGTGCTAGGACAGCCCATCCTCAGGTCTGTGTTTGACAGGGTAGCAAAGGTTTTCTTTCCATTTTAACTGTTAGGGTGGTTTTCCTAATGGGATGAATAATTGCTTCAGTCCAGGATAAGAACTCTATGATTAGGAAAAGACATTATGTCATTTCAATGTGTCTTATTATTTTTAATAACTGCCTTTTCTAGGCCATTTATAAAAGTCCTCTTTTGGCTTCAGTACTGTGGGGCTCAGGGCCACCTACCTGGTGTTCAGAAAGCTCTGGTACAGCCAGAGAAAGCAAAGTTCCTTAGGGCTGTCCTCTCCCTCTCTCTCCTGCATATCTGTGTTGACTGGGCCAGGAGAGCTGGTTTAGATAAAGGAAATTAATAATAATTAAACAGGCCAAACCACATCAGTGTAAGCACCACAGCTGTCGAGCAGCACGTGCCCTGTGCCTGAAGCTGCCGTGCCACAGATGTGGCTCAGAGGGGGCTGGTGGCCCAGTGTGGCAGGGACAGCCACAGGGGGCACGGTGGCTCCCCGAGGTTTCCCCTCACCTGCGCTTGCGGCCCATGAGGTTTTGGATGAACTTCTGCACCTGGGCGTTCCCTCTCATCTTGCTGTACTCGCTGGTGAACAGCCCATCCGAGTGCCTCTGGGACCTGGGCCAGGGACATGGGGACAGCGGCTGCTCAGCCCCAGACAGCCCCTCAGGGCTGAGATCCCTCTCCCCTGGAGGCTGCCTCGCCCCTGGGGTGGGCTTGGCTGGTGCTCACCTATCCTTGAGCCCCACCAGGTGCTTGACCAGCTGCCTCACGTAGGCGTTGCCGTTCATCTTGCTGAGCTCGCTGTGGAACAGCCCGTCGGCATGTCTCTCCATCCTGGGGGGAGAGGGAAGGGAGGCTTCAAACCAGACCAGAGCAGGCATTAAACACTGCTCCCTCAAGGAAACAGGGTCCCAAACACACAGAGGCAAGAATTTTGTGCCACTTTGGCGAAATTTCACCAAAAAAAGGGAAAACCTTACAGGAGTCTAAAAAATAACTTTTTTTAACTGTCAACAGAAAAACGACCTGCACTTGCTTTTAGTGATGTAATCACCTTGCCACAAGGATGTGGGAATGTGAGGTTAGTGCTGGTTCAGCACAAAAGAGTAGGGCAAGAGGCTGGAGAAGTAATAAAGAAACACCCAGAGACACAAGCCTGAGGAACAGGTAGATAACGGCAGTGGTGACAAAGCCCAGCCCTTGCCAATGACTCCTTTGGTGAACTTGGTGAACTTACAGTGTTGGCTATTTCTGGCTATGTTTCCATGGGGCCAGGCTATTGGAAACAAACTTCCACCTCTACCAGGCTGTGTAACTATACAGCAGGAAAACAGACTCAGAAGCGACTTTTTAACTTACTTTGATCTGTTTGGGGTCATGAGTTTCCTCTTGCATTAAGTCAAATCAACTTTCCCATTCTTAAGCAAGAAAAAAACCTTTATAACATTTGCACTCATTTAACTAAATCAACATAGGGAAGCCAAAATCCACAGCCAAGCAGAAGCAAGTTCAGGAAGGCAGATAAAAGGCTGGGTTTACAGCCAGCAGGCTCTTGGAACAAAAACTAGGGAGAAAAAGGAGGCAGAGTCTCAGGGAATGCTCACCTCTCCCGGGATGGCAGAGATGCTGAGAAGTGGGACAGCACAATCATGGGAATAATGACCTGCCACAGAGCTGTCATCATGGAAACCATGTCCTCTCCTGAAAGAAAGCACAAGGTTCTGCGAGCATCAGGACAAGTGCCCTTGGGGTGTGTCTGGGGCAGTTCAGAGGGACAGGGCTGTAGAAATACCACCACGGTCATTAAAGTGGGCAGGAATTCCTGCCAGCAGAGATAAACAGCTGGAGACACCTGGGAAAAAAATGCCATGTGCCCAATAAAATCCATCCACACACAGGGGAAGGGAAGGGCTCGTGTGTGCCCATAGCTGCCTATCCTCTCCTCTTTCAAGAAGGAAAAAGAAATAACACACATTTCCAGTCACTGCAGACCCCCCTAGTTTGTTTTGTTACTGAAATAAAAAGAAAAGTACATGTTGTTCATCCCAAGCCATTGTTCCCCCCTTTACTGCCAGGCTCTGCCCTGTGGCTGCAGAGGGGGGGTGTGCCTGTAGGAGGGTGCTCACCTTTCCCCAGGGATCACACAGGAGCCGTATCTGGAATACAGAACACACCTGCCTTCCTCCTGCAAAGAAACCAGCCTTCCTCACTGTCCTGCAGTCTCTCACACAGCACTTGCTAACCCCAAACCAAAGTCCTCCCACTTGGTTTTTACTTTATTCTGAAACTAGACAGTACAAAGAACGTGAAAGAACTGTCAGAGAGTCCTGAACACTGTCCAGCCACACTCCTGGGACTGTTTGCTGCTCTGGAGGTGCTGCAAGATGAGAAGAGGTACGAGGAGGAAGGACAAGAAGGGAGATCTATCCAGAAATTCATTCAGTGTAAACCACAGCACAAATATTTAATGGCAGCTGCAGAGCAAACAGGTGAGAGGATGAAGGAGCCACAAGCTTCATCTCACACTTGTGTTTTCCTGCCTGATTCAGCTTTGAGGGGATGGAATAGTAAAACAAGGACACTTCCAAGGTCAGTCTCTTATTGGAGTCCAAACTAGGCAGACTCCACAGTCCTGCAGAGGAGCTGAGAACAGCCACAAAATCCAGAGCTCAACACCCTTGGGGAAGGGAAACCCAGACCCTGAGCCTGTCCTTCCATCTGTCTATCACCAGCCACCCAGTGCTTTGTCCCCCAGCATCTCACCTCGGCATTTTGGCCTTCCTTGTGCTATCCCTGGGCTGGCATTTCTCTGGGAGCACCTATTTAAGAGCCCATTTAAAACCCCATCCCTGGCTCCAGAGCTTCCCTCCTCTCCAGAAACTTGTCTTTTCTCTTTCTGGACATAACTTTTGTCCCAGAGGTGTGAAATCCACCACCCAAAACTGAAAGAGGGCAGAAGCCCAGCAGGACTCACCAGCTGGTCGCTCGTGGCTCGCCGCTGGTGCTCCACTGGCCCACTCCTCTCATGGACCCCTATAAATATGCTGCCCTTATCAGGAGCAATTATTTGGGTAAAGCCATGAATATGAGCAATCATGATTAACAGCAAACAATTCAGAGGGGCTGGAATGCCCCTTTAATTACTGACGGGGTCATTCACAGCTATTGGATGGACTATTTCTGCTGATGGATAATAATTCCTGCTTCTGTCTCTAACGACAGTCATTTGTTGGGCAAACATCCCTGTACTCATTGATTCTCTGTGATTGTCATCATTATCTCCCAGCTTTAATTACCTCTTGATAGGAGCTTAATCTTCTGTTCTTCTCTTTTAATTCTGGCTTGGGCTGTGTTTGCAATTGCCAGGATCTGTTGGTGAGTCCATGTGTGCCCCAGCGATTTGGCTGAACAGCATGTCACTTTTATAGGTAAATACTGTCTGCTCAGTAGGATCAGGGCTGACTTCTGCATGAGGGGACAACACCTTTTGAGCTGTGGTTTCAGCTGGGGAAGGTGTGCTGAGAACAGACTCTGTCACAGTTTCTAAAAGAGCAGCACACATAAACACATGGAAAACATCCTGAATACATTACCTGCCATTGTTGGGGGTTGGGGCTGGTTGGTCTCAGATGCTGCAGGTAAAGGTGACATGGAAATGATGGTGGCAGCTTCAACCCAAGCTCCAGGTGTTGCCAAACACCCACAACTGAGAAAGACCATGGAGGAGCAAGGCAAGGAAGAAAGAAGGTTTATAAAGGCTGAACAATATGTAGGGAGCTAAAAATTACTGATGTGATTTCTTTTCCTTTGCAAATAACCTCACTGGGTCTGAAATGTTCCCGAGCTCTGGAGAAGCTCAGTTTGCCGCAAGGATCTGGATGAGAGGACAGAGAAGAGGTTGGAATGACAAAGTGGCCCCACGGTGGCAGCAGAGGGTGAATAATAGGACAGTAAAAGCTCCTGGGGAATTGGAAGAACATGCTCTAAGTAACCTGATTTACCTACTTTGCACAAAAAATGGGGTTTGCCTCCAGCAGCGCTGGCAGAGTGAAAAGGCGGTGGGGTAGAAAACTGTGTAGCCATGCCCAGCACTGCTGCAATTAATGCAGGTTCCAACCACGGGCTCCAACTCAAATGCAGGTTCTGAGACTCTGATGAGGAAATTCAGGGCCATGAAGGGAGCTCAAAAGCATTTGCAAGCTGAAATTCATACATGAATAAACCAGAGCCCAAACCAAATCCCCAGTCCTGAAGCAACATCTGATTTTCCTTAACCAGAATTAGCATCAAACGCTCCTCAGGAGAGGTTCTGGAAACAGGAGTGATAAAGGATCCTGTTCAGCAACATCAACTGATCAGAGCTTTGGGAATCTGCACCTTGCTGCTCCCATTCTCCATTTGTGGGAACATTCCAAGTGGGAGTGGAGATTCACCTCGCCTGCATCCAGCAGGTCCAAAGCAGGATTGAATGCCCCATGGAATCTAACCCACCATGTCTGCAGTATCACTGCAGGGGAAAGCTCCTCAGCGCTGGCTCTAGGAATGATACAGGGAATTGCTGGCCTCACCTGGTCCCTGCTCCTGCACCTAGTCCACCTGCAGCCTCAGGAAGTCAGGGCTGCACTGACCCAGCCACCACCCACCCCTGGGACAGAACACAGGGCTGCAGCAGAGTGAGGAGTGCCGAGTGTGCACCCACACTCCTTGGAGAGGGCAGGGAGAGATGCTCCAGGCTGGAGAAAGGATGTGTGAACCATGGGCCAACTCTGAGGTGCCCTGGGGACACTGCCAGCTGCAAAGCCACCAGGATCTTTGTGCAGTCACCTCTGCTTAGGGTGACAGCAGCTGACCTGCACAGGGTGCAGAGCCCTGTGGTGGCATGCATTAAGTAAATCCAGTTGCCAGGTGCCAGGGCTATTCCCAGCACCACGCTGATGGCTGGGGACACCCTCGTGAGCAGCAGAGAGCAGACATTATGAAACAGAGGGGCCACCCCACCTCAACACCCAGGCCCTGGTTCCTGCTCCCAAGGTGACCTGTTCCAAAGGTGTCTGAGCCTTTTTCCTCCTCTTTATGGTGGGAGGGGTCACCAAACCTACAGTGTCTCAGGACCACGTTAAATGTTTTAGTCCCAGATTTGGCAATACTTAAGAGAGCACACAAGTCTGGCCTTTTTCTGTGGTGGAGGTAAAGACAGGAAACTGCATTTTGGAAAAGAGAGGGATCCATCACAAAGCTCCATACCCTGACCCACACCACAGGGAAGATGCAGGCAGACTCTCCAAAACTAGCACTCAGAGCTCTGCAGGGTCAGTCCATGTTCTGAAGGGATGAAATTCCCATTCACACCCCTAAGAAATTGGTACAGAAGATCCAAAAAAGACTTCTGACTGGAGGAGCACCGTGGCTGCACTCAGAGTCCCCCTCCAGAGAGCCTGAAGAAGAGGCTGGATAAATGTTGCTATTGTCACATGGACATTGTTGCTCCTGCCTCGGACTAGGAAAGCCCACCCAGTTTTTGGGGCTGCTGTTTATCCAGGGCAGCCCTTACAAGGTTTGTCCAATCTTTGCCAACCTATCCACAGTCCAGGCCCCAGGATCTGCTGGAGCTGCTCTTCTTCATGGAGACACCACATCCCCAAATGCTCTGCATGGCTCTCTGAGGTCCGTGGCTTTGGAATGGCAAAGAGCACAAGGGCCAAGCCAGGCTGAGGAGACTGGGGAGGGACCACCTTATCCCCCACATGCCCAGCAGTGGTGTCCCCAGTCCTGAGGAAGCTGTCCAGGGACAGCCAACCTTCGAGGAGCCCAGCACAGGCTGTGCCCCACCCAGTGGCAGCCCCAACCCATGGCAAGGGAGCTTATTGAGGTCAGATGGTACAAGGAGCTGCACAGCTAAACCCTTCCTGCGTAAAATACCCTTTAATCAGCTTAGGGGGTGTTCAGGAACTTCTACCCCCCCCCATTCCCTTTCCCCCTCCTTGCCATACCTGTGTGAGGCCATGTGGGCATGGAGTTGTCTCTGTGTGTCTGCAGGTGAGCCCTGCCCAGGCCCTGAGCTGACGGTGACGCTGCTCCCAGCTGGGAGCAGCTTGGAGTCATCTCCTTGCTTCACTCCCGGGTCTGTAAGAGAAAGGACCCTAATTGGAATAAGGGGATTGGAGGATTTAGCCTTCTAAATGCTCCTTTCTTGCACAGGATGCTTTCAGGAGTGGTTTTAATCTTTACCACCTGATTTTGTGATTTTGGCTGCAAGGGGCAAGAGCAGGATGGCAGGAAGGGGTGAGCAAGGCAGCTGTGGGTGGGCTTGGGAGAAGGCAGAGGAAAACCACAGCCCTGTATGGTCCTGGGACACACCTGGAGGTGTGCCCACTTGCTCTGAAGTCGGGAGGGAAGGTGCTGGACACTCTGGTTACCTCCGTGGCTGGCACTGTTGTGCCAAGGACAGAAGACCAAAGAGCCTTTTAAAGATGAGCTGCTGCCCCCATCAATCACTTGCTGACCTTTGCACCCTATGGAACTCCCTCCCAAGCTCCCTGAGCACTGCCCAAGCAGGAACACCCTGCCTGCCCCCGGGCAGTGTCCCCAGGGTGGCTGCAGGGCAGGAACAACACATCCCACTGCAGGGACAGGTGGGACAGCACTGGGTGATTTCCTCCCAGGGTTGCTCGGGCCACCCTTGCCCTCCTGGCCCAGCTCTGCTCCCGGCCCAGCTGGCAGCTGCCCTGGCCCTGCTCACAGGGACTGCCCCGTGTGTTCTGGCCCTGTCACATCTCCAAGTGTCATCAAGGGTGCAGTCCCGGCCTCCAGCTGTTGGCTGTGCCCGGGGAGAGGAGGAAGCACTCCAGGGAATTCACTGGAATGAGAAGCACGGTGGCCCAGCTGTTCCAGGTGTGCCGTGCCAGCACTGAGCACTGCAGCTCCTGGCACAGCTGCTGGGGCTGCTTCCACTGCATCTCCCCTGGGCTTTGTCAGGGACCTGCAAGGACTTCCAGGGCAGCAGGAATGGGCTTTTTCTGAAAGGACAGCCCTTCCAGGGGAAAAGGAGCAGGCTTTGTCAAGGGCAGGGTGGAGGGAGTTGCATTTCCAGGTGCTTGCTGCTCTCAGGCATGCCTTTCCCCGCCTGTGTTGCCTTTCCCTGCCTCTGCTACCTTCCACTTCTCCCCCTGCCCAGGAGGTTATCCCTGACAAGTGACTTAAATAAGCTCACTGATGTTTTAAAACCAGTAGGGGCTTTGGAATTCTGTTATTTGTTCTGCCTTGTGCCACAAATCCCTGTATCCCTTGTATTTCCCCAGGTTACCCTTGTGTGAGATCAGGGTTAAGCTGAAACGTGGCATCCACAAAAACATCTAGTTTTGACTCCAAGCAGAGATGGAAAATCCAGGCATTTTCTCCATAGTTTCATCCCCCCAGCTAACCACTAGCATTAGTTTTTACATCTTACAGGGATTTATCATAACTTATCAGAAAGGTAAATGTCAAAAGATCCATTCAGTGTGTACATAAATTCCTGCAGCTTCTTGTGGGGACACTGGGAAAGCCTGGGCAGGCTGGAGAGCCCAGAAAGCTGTGCCATCCTCCTCCCTCTCCTGCAGAGCCTCACCCAGGGCCAGGATGCTGCCCCTGCCTCTCTTCTGGGAAATGCATTACAGGAGATTGGAGAGCTGGGTGGCTTTGCTGCCGATGAGACTCTCACACAGAATTGCTCTTGTCAATATGGCAAATGAAAGGAACAAGATTGGCCCTAAGAGCTCTTTGTTTTCCTCCCTTTGTCCTGGACCTGAAGACAGCAGGAAAAGCTGCTCTGGGCTATCAGGGCACTATTCATCAGCCAGTTTGGCACATCTGTGCTGAAACTTTGGCAGCCACATTGTTCCCCTGTTCTATTTAAACATTCAGTGTCTCAGATGTGAGAAAATATGTTGATAAAAGTTCCATCTCTTTTTGTGAGACTCTGACAGATGCCTCACTTTGCAACCTTCCTGATCCTTTGAATTGGCTGGGAATCAAATCCGCAGTTAATTCATCCTGGGGGAGTCTATGGGGGACCCCTCCAGGTTCCCTGGCAGGGGACCAGCTCCACCACAGCCACAAGCCACACTGCTCATCTTCCAAAGGTGCTCTAAGCATTCCCAGTCCTCACTCGGCCGTAATTCCTCCCACTTTGCACGAGGGTGACCCACGAGGGTGACTCTGTCCTCTGCCTCCTGTTTTTCCTTGCAGTGACAGCCTCTATCAATATGCTGATGTGTGACAGACCTTCCTTCTCCTCTGCAAGGAGGGCAGCTCTGACCCAAGAAAGGAATTGTGTCTAATGCCTGCAGACTGTTTGCCATGGAAGCACTGTCCCAATTAGTGCTTTGCATGGCTGCTCGTTTTTGGAAGTCAAAAGCCTTATTTTACATTAGTTTAATCCACGCCAGGATTAAACTAGTCTAGGATTAAGGCCCTGTTAGTCTGGAATACGGGTTTCCATACTGAGAATCAAAAGTCATTCAGCACTAACCCACAGGAAAAATCGAGATAATGGATGTAAATTAACTGTTGAAGGGGATTAGATAAATGGCATTAATCCCTGTGGGAAGGCAGGATGGCAGTCACACTTCGATCCTGCTCTCTTGGCTGCTCAGGGAGTTTAAACATAAATAAATTAACAGTATTCTGTCCACACAGTTTCATCAATGCACTTCAGGGCCTCCTTGAACTAATTTGAGTTGATTTCTCAGAGTGAAAAAGGCTCTAATGAAAGTGGTTCTGCTGTCCCAGCTCCTTGCTGAGGGGAGGCTGTGCCAGGAGTCAGGTTTTAGGGACCAACCACGGATGGGAAAAGCTGTGATCAGGTGATGGAAACCACCTGCCTTGTCTGAACTTCCTAGCAGATGAGACCCCACAAACGAGCTCCTGACCCAAGGGATGTGCAGCCACACTTGTGTCCACCCGAGTCCAAGACAAACCATTCCTGAAGGAATGCAGAGACAGGCACGTGAATACCCACTCCAGGGCTGCTGGGAGTTCTGGGTACACTCAGAGCAGCTGGAAGTGTCATCTCCCTCTGCACACTGGAAGAGGGAGATGAACAGACAAATCCATGGCTATTGGGATCAGTGTGAGGATGGCAAACCCACACTGGGATGGGAGAGAGGGGTGACACAGCTCTGTAGTTACTTAAGAATGGCATTCTTCCTGGCTTTAGAACAGAGGTAGAAGCCACCTCTGGAGACAGAATTTGGCAAGCCAGACTGTCAACAAAGTGCTTAAACCAAGGGGATTTTCTCTTCCTCCTGTATGGAATTGGGGAGCTGTGGCTGTTGGGCAAAACAGACTGTGTGGATCAGCTGCTGTTAATCCACTCCAAGGGAAGTAGCTGGATCTGTGTCCCATGGCTGAGTCCTGGGCTCTGGCCTTTCTGTGCTGCACATGCTGAGGGCAACCATGGCCTTTGCCAAAAAAGGGTAGGGAACTGGGGGGAACAAGAGTGATAGTTGGAGATAGGATTTCTCCCACAGATCTCAATAGATCTGTTTTGGATGTTTTGGATGAAACTCTGAGAGCTGCGGCCTATAAATACATCTTAGAAGCTCCTTGTCTTATAAAAAGCTTACAATAATATAATGTCCCCCTTCCATGGAGTGTAAATGTCCCTTTCTTGCTATGCTTTCTCTTCCCAGTGCCTTCCACAAAGCCCAGGCTGATCTGAATGCTTTCCTGGCATTAACATCTGGGCTGAGGCTTGCTGGCACAGCTGGACAGATGCCCACAGAGCCCGGATCAGGTCCCACATCTCCCAAGCAATCTGGGCTAGAAATGAGGGTTCACGGCTCCCCTGTCCTTCCTGCCTGACCCTGCAGGTGCACAGGTAACCCCCAAACAGCATTTCCCTCTCATTTTCAGCAATAAGACATCCCAGCCCTTGTGTTCAGCTGCCACCCTCCCTTTGCTCCCACACTTGCTGCCTGTCTGGTTTCCTCCTCAATCCTGCATTTCTGCAGTTGATTATTACTGCCCAAGCACAGGTAAGGTGCAAAATTCCTTTGGAGTTGCATCCTGCATTTGCCAATTTCTCCAGCTCATCAAGACCACTGCAAATCCTCACTCTGTGCTCCAAGATGCTCACAGGATCCTGTCTTGGCAGTATCTTTAAATTTAGCTACGGACTCCCTGGACTCTCACTCAGGGACACCTAAACATTACTAGATTCTGCACATACCTTGGCATACAATTTCCCAGTTATCTGCCCAACCTGTAATAACTCCAAGTCTGTCCTCTCACGGTGCTTCAGAGAACACCACCTTTTGAGACCACAGTGACAGCTCCCGGGGGCGCAGCGGGGACACCGGGACACGGGGAGCCGGGACACCAGTAGCCTGCCCCCCTCCCCCGGCGCCCCCTAAGCCGCTTGCTGACCCAGTTGTCCCCGCGGGGCCGGGCCGGGCCGGGCGGGGCGGCGGCGGAGGCTCCTCCCGCGGCTCGGCGGGCACTCCCGGCGGCCGGCCCGGCTCCCCGGGCTGCGGGGGCAGCGCCGCGGGGCCATGGGCAACGGCACGGCCGGACCCCCGCCCGCCGCCGGCCACAGCATCGCCGCGCTGGTGCTCGGCATCCTCCTCATCCTCCTCATCGTCGGCGGCAACGGGCTGGTCTGTCTGAGCGTGTGCACCGAGCGGGCGCTCAAGACGACCACCAACTACTTCATCGTCAGCCTCGCCGTGGCTGACCTGCTGCTCGCCCTCCTCGTCCTGCCCCTCTACGTCTACTCCGAGGTGAGGCTGCCCGGGGGTCCCCGGGGGGCGGGGGGGGCTGTGGCTTGTGCGCCCGCGGAGCCTGAAGGTTACGGGGCTACGCGGTGGGATGGGCGACAGCTCAAGTACTGAGGGTCAGAGCCGCTTTGCGGGCTTGCTCCCCACCTCCGTCCCGCCGGCCCGGGGGTGCCAGCGCCCTCGGGACAGCCCCTGCGCCCCGCGATGCTCGTGCGGCGCTCGGAGCACCGCGGCTCTTACCTGCGAGTGTCACGCTCCGGGGCCGCGGGCGGGTGTTGGGGTAGGCTGGACGCGGGCAGGCGGCGGGAGCGGAGCCGCAAACGCACCGAGTGGAGATGACCCGAGTGGAGGTGCCCCGAGTGGAGGTGCCCGGGGGTGTCCGCCCCGGGCCGGCCCAGCAGCTCCTGAGGCTGAGCGGTTCTCTCTGTAACAGGGAAACAAATGTTTACTGCCGGGGATGGACAAAGCCTTGTGCTTGCTGGGTGGGTGAGGGGGCTCCCCAGAACCTGCCCCTTAGTACCAGCTGGAGGCTCTTGCCTGCTCGAGTGGATGAAAGCATCCACAGGGCAAAATATGAGGTGTTTGCATCCACCCTTGTGGTAGTTGGTGGTGTGGACCTTTTTCCCAGTCCTGGGAGAACATGTCCCCTCTCTCCCATGCCATGCTGAGCATCCTTAGGCAAGGCAGGCTGCAGATTAGGGCTTAGGATGGTCTCTACCTGGTCCTAGGATTTTGCAGGACATTGTGACCTCTCTAGAACAGGTATTATGGAGCGACAGGTTCAACAGGGGACCATGAGAAGAACCAGTGGAGAAGCATTAAATGCCTCTTTTTCCACTGTGACATTGTTTTTGGTGGACTTGCTTTTCCCTTGTTACCTCCGTTTTGCCAGTCAGAAATGCACATTCTTCATCACACTCAGATACCTTTGTAGCTGAGGAGGCCTGGGGCACTCCCAGGCATCCACAGGAATTCCTGAGGAGCAAAGTTCTGCCTATGTGTAAAGGGAGGCCAGAAGAAGATAACCAGAGAGTGCCTGGAGAGTTGGTAGCACTGAAACAGGGGTTACCTGAGGAAGCAGAGCTACAGGTGCTGTGGAGGTATTCAGGGTATCGCCAGGCTCTGGGTGCCTTTGGGAGGGAGCTGCATAGCTCCAGAGGCTTGGCCTGGTGTGTAACTGCTTCCTCTCTCTGCCCAAGGACTGTGACAATGGCAGGAGTCCCAAAGGCTGTGACACTGGCAGGAGCCACAGCAGCAGTTTATACCATCCTCAGTAAGCAGAGGCATCCCAGCAATTAGGGCAAGTACCAGTACCACCTCCCCAGCTGGACTGTGCCAGGGAGCACACCTGTCCCTGTGCCTGTCCCTGTCCCTGCTGTGCTCCTCTGAGCAGCTCTCTCCTAATCCCCGAGTGCCAGAGCTGAGCCAGGCCTGAGCCACGAAGCCTCTGGCAGGATCTGAGGGTGTTGGTTATGTAAACATCTTTGCCACTCAGATCCGTGTAAGTGATTATGGAAGAGAGGAAACAGTTTTAGCAGATTTGCATGTTCACCTGGCTCCTTCTCCAGGTCAGGGAAGATGAGTGTTTCCCAGCAGGCACAGCGGTGGAGCAGCCAGGACAAACGACAGGAGCTGTTTTCCTGGTGAGGGTGATGCTGCTCTGCCTAAAACTTCCAGTGGGAGGGCATCAAAAGATCTCTTTTCTTGCACTTTCTTATGTGTGCCTGTGATGCAGCTCTTCCAATGAGAGATCAGACCTTTATCCTCTCCAAATTTCCTGTGGTTCTCTGTGAATCAGGCACATCAGCCTGTTTGCAGCAGGATTCAGGATTAGTCTTTCCTGGAATCTTAGAGCTTTAATGGAAATAGATGTTTTTCTGTACCTGGCTTATGTCTGAGCCACACAAAACACTGGGGAGGTGAGCTAGGCCAGCAGGTATAAATCAGTGCTCAGGGGTTTATTTTCAGGCATCAGAAACTGGGAGAGGTGTCTTGGAATTTCAGGCCCTTGTAATGTCTCAGGTGGATGATCAGACTTGCTCCTCATTTCTGAAAAACCTTGACCTCAATGATTTAAGTCAAGGAAGGATATTAGAGCAGACATGAGGCACCTTTGTCTTGTGTCCCATTCCCTCCCTTCCCTCTCCTCTTGCAGGCTGGGCTGTGTCTTCTGGGGAATGCGGCAGCTGTCACAGCTCATGACAAAAGGCCCCGTGTCAGTGTTTTGGGGGCACGGGGACAATTCTTTGGCTCTGATGTTGGACTTTGCCCACTGGCAAGGATTATTCCTCTTTCAGTTGGTGCCACAGCCCTCGAGCCATGGCTCGTTCAAAGTCCAGCTGGACATCTCCTAATTCCCTTTCGGGCTCCTGCTGTTCCCTACATGTGGCAGGACTGAGACCAGAGCTGGTATCAGAGGAAACACAACGAGAACCTTTGGCCCTGTCCTGGCTCATGGCCTCGGGAGCACTGGAGGTGTAAGAGCTCTTCTGGCATCAGGCCAGTTCAGAAGGCAGATTTTTCCTTACAAATTACCTGAGCTGGAATATGGATACCAAAATGGGCTGACTAGGAAGGCAGCTGCAAGGGTGTGTGAGAAGCCAAGTCTGCCTCCTGCCATGCACCATCCTATAAAATCTTCTCCATGACTTCTTTGTATTCTAGAAAAGGGGAGAACCCCAAGAGCCACTGAAGGTGGAGCTGCTCTGCTGCACTTCCTAAAGGCAGCTTGTGTTATGTGGGATCCCTAAAGCTTTACACTGTGTACCTTGATGGGCTAATCTGCTGCAGTCTCCTGTAATTAGGTACCCCTTAATCACATGGCCCAGCAAAGCCTCTAATCCAAAGTCACTCTCCCATCTGAGGGGTCCTTGGCACATTTTGTGAGGAGGGCAGGTGACAAACACCATGTAATGGAAAGTTCTCTCCCAGCACCTTCCCAAAGCCAGAGTCTTGGGGATTGGTGGAGACAGGGAAAGGTTTGTAGCAGTTTCCAAGAACCCAACTTGAATGTCACATCCTCTGAAGGTGCTGCAGCCTGAGAGCTCTTGTCCTTTTCAGAATCAATTAGTTCTCCCAAATCAAAAACAGGTTTGGAAAACTGTAGCCCAAAATCAAATTTTCTCTCTCATAAGATGAACTGAACTTGTCAGGATCCCAGTAAGCTTGGCAAAAATTTGGTTTGTGATGATTCAGGTTCCAAATTCAGTTTGGGGTGTGTGCTCTGTGCTAGAGAAGAGGCTGAATGAAGCATTCAGGTCTCACTCCAGCCCTCCCCCGGAGGTATCTCAAGGAGATGCTGTACAAAAATAGCCAGACAGTTACTTCAGAGTCTCCTTTGGCTTTACAGCTCCTCTAATCGTAATCCTGGGCCTGACATCACTACTGCCTGATATTAATCCCTGCAGAGCTGCCTGCCCTGCTCCTGGCAGGGGGTTTGGCACCTTCCCATTGTTCCGTGGAGCGTGTTCCCCACGCGGCTCTGCTCTGGGCTGGGATGAATGAAACCAGAGCCTGCTGTTCAGCAGCTGCACAGGAGCAAATCCATACCTGCTTCCTGAACCCTGCACGTGGGCAGCAACGCTACCCTCCACCAGCCCTGCCTGACTGGTGCTACAGAGGGAAAAGTTCCTGGGATTTATATGTATAGATATAAAAATTATTGTTAGGTAGTGCATTTCCTATAGATAAAAATATGTAGTAAATTATACACATTAGATGATGCACATTACCTATAGGTAAACATATATAGTAAATTAAAGATATTACATGTAGCAATATATACTGTAGTAATATTTATCATATATGTTTTAATAAGAGCATATAGAGAGTGCTTGATATTCTGCATGACAAGGGGCCCTTGCTACTGAATGTTTTGTTTCCAAGCTAAAATCACACTTATCTATACAGTGTGTTTGGTTCTTAACTGAGCCTCTCCCTGCAGAGGGACCCAAAGGATGGCGAAGTTTTCCTGACAGTCACAAACTGGGAGGAAAGATTCCCTGCTGCTGTAGTGGGAACAGCCCAGGGAGCCTCCTGGTCACCTGTGCAGGTGTGAGCACATGGACAGGCCCGTGCTGAAGGAGCTCATTGGCACAGGAAGAGGATCAGGGGGACTATTTCTCTATCAGCCTAAGAAGTGTTTTAATGCTAAACCAACAGGCTGGGTTTGTACCTGGGTGAGATGAGCGCTCGGCTGGAACAAACTGCTGCAAGTAGTCTCTGGCCGTACCAGCATCAGCCATTGCTGTCCTGCTGCCTGTCCTCTGCCAGGGGCTGTGCAGAGCTGTGTCCCTGGCCAAGATGACCAAGCTGAAAATCACAAAGCATGGCAGTCAACACTTCCAGTTGTTCAGTGACTGGTCACTGCTGCTCTGCCCTGGCACTGGGACTGTGCAGGGAGAGCCAGAGGTTCTATCTCCCTGCCTGACCCTGGTCTCCATGGGCTGGACTCGTGCTTTGCCCGCCAGGACAGAACAGTTGTGTAACAAAGGGAAATGGTTCACATTGTCTGCAAACAGGATACTGGAGCAGTGGGGACCTGAAAGTGGAAGAGGAACCTTGTGCTCTGCCACTTGTTGCTCAGGGACCGAGGCAGTGACGCTGACCAGCAACTGTGGTGCTGGGGAGGTTCTGGGGTGTGAGGAGAGGGGGGGCTCCATTTCTCTGCCCAGCACAACTCACCTGGCCGTGCTGACGCTCTGTGGGCTGTTCTCCAGCCAGCCCTGGGCAGGCTGTGAGCTCCTGCACGGGGCTGACTCCTGTGTGCCACTGCCACGCTGGGAGCATCGTGCCACGGCAGGAGCCTTGGGCTGCTTGTCAGGAGGAACCGTGAGAGGCTGAGGTGCCCAGGCACGGAGGTGTTCCCTGTCACTTTAAAGGCATCTGCTGACCCTGGGATCTTTCCAGTTCCAGGGAGGTGTGTGGTCCCTGAGCACGGTGCTGTGTGATGCCCTGATGACCATGGACGTGATGCTGTGCACGGCGTCCATCTTCAACCTGTGTGCGATCAGCGTGGACCGGTGAGTGCCTGCCTGCTCTGCCTGCGTCTGGGCGTCACGCTGCTTCCAAACACCCCTGCCAGGCTCCCACACCGGGAGGATCCTGCTCTTCCCTAAGGGGGGACGCTTTGCCATAGCACCCTCCATCCCAAGCTTTGTGTCCCATCAGGGGTGGCCACGCTGAAAGCACAGCTGTGTGAGGAAGCAGAGCTGCCCCTGGGGTGCTCTGGTTGTAGCCCATGCCTTGGCTCTGTGAAGTAAATGAGCGAGGGGGAGGACAGTGAGGAGGAGCTCTGGGGCCTCTGGGTTCCCTCGCTGGCGGTGACGCCCCCACGCCAGGCCTGGCTCACCTGGGGCTGTGTTGGCAGGTTCATCGCCGTCCAAGTCCCACTCAACTACAACCGGCGACAGATCGACCTGCGGCAGTTGATCCTTATATCCACCACCTGGATATTCGCCTTTGCTGTAGCATCTCCTGTCATATTTGGCCTCAACAACGTCCCAAACCGGGACCCCAGCCTGTGCCAGCTGGAGGATGACAACTACATCGTGTACTCCTCCATCTGCTCCTTCTTCATCCCGTGCCCCGTCATGCTGGTGCTGTACTGCGGCATGTTCCAAGGACTCAAGCGCTGGGAGGAGGCCAGGAAGGCCAAGCTGAGGGGCTGCATCTATGGGGCCAACAGGAAGCTGTACCACCCCCCGACCTTCCTGGAGAGGGAGCAGAGCCGGCTGGGGCCGCCGGAGTGCAGCCCCTACAGCCTCACTGGGCTCCCTGGGGACTGTGGGATGAGCAATGGGATCCAGACTGTGTCCTACCCGCACCTCAGGTACCCACAGCCGGGGCACGGGCGGAAGCGGGCCAAGATCAACGGCCGGGAGCGCAAGGCCATGCGCGTGCTGCCGGTGGTTGTCGGTGAGTATCCGCAGGGACGGCTGGGCGGGGTGGGAAATGTGCAGGGCAGGGACCTGTGTGGATCCGGGGTGCCAGAGCAATGCCAACAACTACCACCCCTAGGACAGAACTCATGTAGCTGATAACCAGGTTTCCTTCAAGGCAAACCTGTGACTCCCAGTATCTCACATTCGAAGCCAAAGTGAGACTAACTTTAGACTTTTCATCAGTGTTTGTGACAGGAAAGACATCCCAATTTTTTTGTCTGGGCGTAGGCCCAGCTCCACATGTCAGCACAGCTGCTGCCTGTTCCCTGAGCACTCTGAGCTGCCTCTGTCTTGTTTGTCCTGAGCTTTGTAAACTAAACCCTTCTGAATGTGCCCATCACCTTCTCTCTTTATTGCCCTGGCAGGTGCTTTCCTCTTCTGCTGGACACCTTTTTTTGTGGTGCACATTACCAGGGCTCTCTGCAAGTCCTGTGCCATTCCCACTCAAGTCACCAGCACTGTCACTTGGCTGGGCTATGTCAACAGTGCTCTCAACCCCATCATTTACACCGTGTTCAACGCTGAGTTCAGGAACTTCTTCCGCAAAGTCTTGCACCTCTTCTGCTGAGCCCTCTGGGACTGGTGGGGAGGAGGAACCTCCAGGGAGCAGGAACCACCAGGTGATTTTTTGTATAGTTCATTAAAGATCTATTTCTGTCCCTGGCCTGCTGTCTTTGTTGGGGAGGAGGGGAGGAGGAGGAAAAGGCCCAAGGAAGTTGCTCCCCAGCTCCTTGGAGTAAGGTGTCATAGGTGAGTACCATTGGATGCAACTTGGATCCTCTTCCCACTGGAAACTGCAGCTTTCCAGCCTCTTTTTTAACATTTGATGTAAGCAGGGATAATAATAATTTCTAATCTTCTGGCTTCTGGGGTGGCATTAACAGGGCTGTGAGGTGACATCTACCTGTGCAACCTCCTTTGCCCTTGATAATTTTAATTTCAAAACCTGATTTCATTCATGTTTAACAAAGGTCCTACAAAGGCACCATTGCCAGTGCTCCAGAATTCCTTATCAAGCCATAGGATTCCTGCCAGGAACCATTTCCAGCCGCAGGAAAGAAATCTGTCACGCCTTTAGGTGAACCTGGGCCAGTGGGACCAGGCAACGCTCGTCACTGAGGCTCAGAGGGGAGAAAAGGAATATTGCACGAATTACAATCATCCAAGTCATGATTTTGTACGGGATTGTTGCTTTCCAGGGGGAAATTTGCTTGGAAACAAAACAGAAGAGTACTGCAGGGAGGTCCTGAGTGTTCCTTTGACTAAGAATAGCAACTGCTCAATGAATTTCTCCTCAGCACGCAGACAGACTCAACTCCCATGCGATTATCCTGTGCCTTTCTGAGCTCTGTCACTGCCTGCTTGGGGTGCAGCTGCCCCAGGTAGCAGGGCCCAGTGGGAAGCTCCCTGAGAGCTTTCATGGCAGCTGAGTCACACCTACAGTTCCACAATTTAGAGAAGTTGCCCCACTTTCTTCCAAATTTTTTCCCCTTACAAGATGCAGTAAAGCCAAAATTCCAACAGTGACCAAGGCTTGACTATACCTGGCCACAAGCTATTGAACTGGATAAGGACAGCTACTGGATAAGGACAGTGGAGACACTCAGCTGCTGCCTCATTCTCCTCCCAAGCCCATTGCAGGTGTCCCAGCTCACCCATCCCTGGAGCTGGCTTGTCCTCAGTCCAGGAGGAGCTCTGCTGCTCTTACCAGCTGTGCTGGACAGGGACGTGAAGCAACAAGAATAGTTTCAACCAAAAGCCTCGTTTGGTGCTGGAAGGGCAGCTTTAGCACTCCAGAGGTGCCACTTTGGAGATGCCGTCGCTGCATCCGAATGCGGGGCACAAGAAACCCTGGAAATGAGCTGTGTTACCACGGGCTCAATTAAGACTGTCTTCTCAATTAACTAATTGTCTCCACGCTCTAGAAAACAGGAAATCAGCATTTTACTGTGAGCAGAAATCATTGCCAGTACTTGAGTATTGCTCTGGGAAGCAGGAGTGAGCATTTTGCTGTGGGAATGGAAGGAGCTGCCTGTTCTTTCCTTCCCAGGAGTATCACAGGTAATTTCTGTTCCCATCCTGTCTCAGTTCCTGCTTGGCTTTCCATGGATTCATCAGAAACCTCCAGTCTAAGACTTAAGCCTTTTCCACTGCATTTTTCTCTCTTATTAACTTGCCTGTATCTCTGGATAGAGTGTTCTCCTTTTGACAGTGTGTGTGATGCTGGGTTGGGTCACTCTGTGGTTCAGCTGACCTTTCCTGGAGCAGCAGCTGAACAACCATCCTCGTCCATCAGCATGAAACCGGAGAGAACAACAGCCAGGACAAGTGACCCTCACAGGGGCTGTGACCCCTCAGCCAGAGCAAATAACAGCCAGGACAAGTGACCCTCCCAGGGGCTATGCCTGAAGCTAAAAACAAAGCCAAACAACCAACCGGAGGTTTGTGGGCCTGCCAAGTGTCCTCCAAAATCTCCAACCACAAGCAAAGGTGCCTGCTCAGCTTAATTATTAAAGAAGTACATGAATAATTAGAATGAATTTGTTGCAGTGAACAAAGCAAGTAACTCCCTAACTGTCACATCTCTGCTCAGCAGCTCCTGCGGGGCAGGGGCATGACAGCCCCATATCCATGTGCACTCACCTCGGGCGTGATCCCATCTGAGTCTGGCCAGGTGGATGCTATGAGCGACATTCCAGGCACGCCGTGGGATGAGGCTGTGCTTCCCTGCGGAGCAAACACCTCCCAGGTAGATGGGGAACACAAACACACGTGTACCTGCCACCACACCCACCTGTGCAGGTACCTGCACCCTCGAGTGTTGCCCTGGGGATTAAAGGGAACCGCTGGGCTCGCTCATGCTTTCACCGCTTTTTATTTAACAACGTGTTATTCTTCAATGGTATTTAAATGCAGAAGCTCCAACGTGTTCCAAATTTGCCTAGCACAGAGGGAACACAGGAAAAACAAAAATCCTTCCAATGCCAAACTAAGAACTTGTACCGACTGTGTCAAGGCAATTAAATAAGCCAGAGATTCATTTCTCTTCTCAAACAAGAGGTAGGGAGGCCCTGGGAGGAGGAAACACTGGCACATCTCCTTGCAGCACCTGTTTTAGAGCCATCTCAAGAGAGATGAGGAGATTTCTGTAATCCACATGGTGGAGGATCCAGTCAGGCAAAGGCAAAGCCTCCCGAGGCCAAAGGGGGATCCCACTGTGCGTGTGAGGGGGGTTCCAGATGAGGTTTTCACAGTCTCTGTATTACCCAAAGTTTTGAAAGGGGCTCAGGAGCAGACAAATGGCGTCACAGTATCAAAAAGCCAATCAAAAGTGATTCTGCTAGAGAGAACAGTGCCGTTGGCACAGGACAGACCGTTCCGCCGGGTCCCGATCCAGCCGGCCCCGCGTGCCCGGGAACGGCTGTGGAGGTAGTTTGCTCACACGGTGACCTTCTCTATGACACTGTCCGTGACGTGCACCTCGTCACCCTGCACCGTCACCGTGGCTGACTGGCCGCAGATGTGCTGGTGGTCCTTCCAGTCCTGTGAGGGGAGAGCAGAGGGCGAGGCCATGAAGAGAACTGCCCCTTGGAAAAGCTACTGTGTGGGAAGCACTTTCTCCAGCGCAGGGGGGAGCAGCTGGTCTTCCAGTGCCCCACAGACCAGACCAGTGATGGAGGAGAAAGGAGCCCACACACTTGATCAATATTAGAGGTGGAATTGGACTAAGCAGAACAGTACTCCGATTTTTTGGATCACCTTTGGGAAGGTGTGTACAAACCCTGGGACCTTCCCTACCCTTTTAACGCTGCCCCAGCTTCCAGATCCGCCCCATCACTACAGCCTTGTTGGTGATCCCACTGGCAGGGGCTGTGGAATGCCTGACCCATGCAGGATTCTGCGCTGGCTGCCCAGCTCTGCTCCATCAGGTGACTCTCCCTGGGGTCCCACAGCCCTCTCCAGGGAACTGCATCCCAACTCCCAAACATGCCATACCTTCCGCTGGCAGAAGGTGGAGCAGTAGTTGACCTTGTGGCAGCCCGTGCACTCGTTGGTGGCCTCCCGCCCGCAGTTGACACAGGATTGCTGTGGGAAGGGATGGAGAGTGACCGTGTCACACAGAGCCACCACAGCGAGGTCACCGAGGGGCTGTGACCTGCTGGGATGTGGGAGCAGTGGGAAAGCCCCAGCTCCCCAAAATACACTCAGCACACCAATACAAAACAAACAGGCCCAGTGGCTCGTGGATATGCCCTCAGAGACCTGCTCTCCTGCTGCTGTAGCAGGGATCACTTTGGAAAATGGAATACACCTCTGTTTTCCTTTCTATTGGGCAGAAAGCCCTTCAAAATCATGGGTGGGACACTGAATGGTCATGGAAATCCATCTCCACCACCCCAGGGCCAGGGATACCTCCCTCCACAGGGGACAGGTAGCTGCAGGTGTCAGCAGGAGTCGAGTGTATCCTGAGGGCAAGTGTGTCCCAAGGAGCTGTACACAGGCTGTTGACAGTCAAACTCTGAGTTTATCCCAAACTGAAAGGTTTAAGGTATATTCATCAGTTCTTTTGTTGGGTTTATAATACTGTGTATGTCAGAGAGAGGGTCTGAGGAAGGACAACAGGAGTAGGAATAAGGATGAGACCCCTCAGCTTAATCATTCCTTAGTTTTAGAGAGGAAAAAGGGATTTGTTACTTTGCCAGACAGCAGCATGACTGCATAAGGAGTGTCCCAACAGGGAAAAAGGAGTCAAATAAAGAAGGCTCAAATAGGAGCAAAGATTTAAATCCAGAAGCAAGGTGAGATAGGATACATGGGAGAAAAATCACATCTGCTTTTCAGGGGATGCTTTTGTGTCTATCACTTTAATCTTACCTCAGTGACATCAATTAACATAACCTGTATATTTAGGTGGAAACATCATTGAACTGCCACCAAAATAAGCACTTCACAGACCATTCTGCTTCCAGCTCATTAAACTCCTGACAAATCATTAGCACTTGGAGCAGCAGCGGCAGGAAGCGTTGCTGGGTTGTGAAAGTATCCTGGGCTCCTGAGTTCCTCAGGCTCCTTTTCTTCTTTGAGCACAAGCACCCCCAAATCAGTGTCCTGATTAACACCCCACTCATCACACCCCCTGCTCACACCTCCCATGTACCTGCAGTGAGCAGATGGTGTGACTGAACTGTGTTTGTGCTCCCGATGTACAGCCGGGGATTTGGGACACCGCAAATGCCTTAAAGCTGCAATCTGGCACTCACAAAGTCTGTCTCGAGGGGACACTTGACTGGGGCTGTTTGTCACCTGTACAGGTACTGGACAATGTGGAAGACACACAGTGTGTGTGTGTGCAGTTGTACCTGAAGATCTGAGGGACAGAGTAACACACGCAGCTCTGAGGGCTTCAGTCACGGGTCCTGAAGTAACTCCCATTCCAACAGCCAGAGGGGATCATGGAAAGCAGCTCACAGGACAAAAAGGAAGCAAATTCCCTTCCTGCCACAGCTCAGTGGCAGCCACCCAGCAGAGCTGCAGCACTACCACTCAGAGGTGAGTGAGACTCATGAACCTGCCCAGGTGACAATGGAGGAGTGTGGAAACCTGGAAGGCTTGGGAAAGGGAAGACGCTGCTTGGAGCAAAGGGAAGGCTCAGATCTGTGCCA